GGATAGGTGAATCGCTGTTGTAAGTTACTTGACGAATTCTTGGAACATATCCTGAGGTTGGCTAATCATATGAAGGTTGTTTACTTGTACGAGTCAGCACTACTTTTGATATATTGTCGCCTGAGTGAGTTCCTCCAAAGGTACGTTGAAGTTGAACTGGTGGCTGGATCACATCATTTCTGGTCCCCTTCCACTCTCGTGATCCAAATGGATATGATGATGATACCCGCAAAAATCGGCTTCAGTGAAATACTTACGCATGTCCCTACAATGGATGGAGAGTGAACCACCAAAAGTCGGAATTCGAACGAAGACAAGACCGCGAATCTAGAAGCCGATTAACAAACGCTACCCCGTCCGAGCGTTTCACCCAGCGCCGCGGACGACGTTATACTCCCAGTCCAGCCACTGCACCAGCGCGTGTGAGAAGTGTTGGATTACTATCCCCTCCATCGTTTCATAGAAGGCCAACTCGCGAGCAGTTGTACCAGCAGAGGCGTGAGCCTTGGGGACGCAAAACTGGAATTTCAGCTGTTCAAGTCGGGGGAACCTAGCGCGAGCCCAATCCTCCGGTAGCGCTTCCCTCAGGCTCCCCATTGTTTCTGCCAGAATTTCGGATTGCGGAAGCAGCTTGGTGCCGTCCGCCGTTGCGGTGGGTGCGTCCACGGTCTCTAACGTGCGACCGCTGGCGTCGACGCCAACGGGGAACTGGAGCGCGATAGTAGTCAGGTTCGGGGCTGCGGGGAAGGTGCGGAGTGTGTGGAGTGTCCCGATCGCATGCCCCACTGGTTTTTTTTTTTTGGCAGACGTATGACAAGCGAGTGCAGAGCGCCGAAAGGAGGCAAGCCGGCCATAATCTGTGACATTTAAAACTTGGATAAACGACGAGGGTTCTCGACCCCAGCGCGAAAAGTTTCCGCGTGGTCCCGGGAGAGCATGCACGCAACGTCAACGATTTGAGCGCCCGAGGCGGCGAATGCTCCACGAGATCGATGACGTAGCTTCCGTTCCCGACGCTCTGAACGTCGAGCGTCTCCAGCGCCGAGAGGTCAAACAGGGTGGGGCGGCCATGCGCGCTGTGATCAAATGGAAGCGCAGTTTCAAGGGCCACCCCGCCGCGATAGAGGTTAAGTGCGCTCAGCGCGCCACACGAGCCCAAAAATTGGGCGATAGACGCGAGGTCCAAGAACATTGCATTGTCCATATGTAGTTCCGCCATGTTGGGAAATTTAGAGAGGCAGAGAGAGGCATCTGCAACATTCAAGGCTTGGCGGATAGGTGGGTCGCTGCCGCAGCTGATGGACCAATGGATCGTTCCGACGTGCGGCATGAGGGGAATGGCCGCATGAGCAACTTCAGCGTTGAGGAGGTTTGGAGGCCAGCGAAAATGGACGGTCTTTGTGGTGGTGGGCAGGTCCGGTATGCTTTCCAGCAGTTCGGCCCAGAACTCTCCGGATTCTGACCATGGGAATCGAATCGCATCAAAAAGGAATGGTATAGCGGAGGAGCGCATCGATGAGGACGTTAGCGTCATGGCGCGCAGCGTATCCAAATCTCTCGCGTTATGCGAGGCAATCTCCGCAGCGAGTTCAAAGGGAATGTGGGCTGCATTCGATGTTATTCCAGATTCAAATTGTGGACCAGAGTTACTGTACTCACAGTACATGTCAACGGTCGTCGGTTGCTTGTGGTCAGCTTGTGGTGGTGTCGGTTCAAGCGATACCATCACGTAATCGTAAAACTCCTTTTTATTATTACCGCGCACTGTCAAAATCGGTTTCCAAGATTACAAGGGATATAGTATGTCTAGTATACATTGAACGGCATGGGGGTACCCGCCAATACTCGCTCGGTGTGAATGCAATCTTCAGCCCTTGCACGGTGGTCCGCACATTCGTGTGCAGCGGGCCCGCATCCCCGCCGTCCACGCCCTCATCGTACCCCGTTCCCAGCTTGCGCGCAAGCTCCTCTACGCCCTCATCGTCCCGCACCCACGCGCCCTCGCACGCCTCGGCGTCCCACCACGCCACCACCTCCAACCACCCTCGATATGTAAAATGTAATCTGCATATTCGAGTCTCGACACACCTACAAAATCGACTTGGGAAGCTTCAGCGAAATTAGAACTTTACGCAAAAGCCGGTGGAGAGTGAATCACCGGAAGCCGGAATTTGAACGGCGAAGAGTATTTATGCTCAGCCAAACAATAACTATGATTCCAAGAAGACCGACAGCGAGTCCAGTCAATTATCAGATGGCAATATTTTAAATAAACGCGATTTCACCTGAGCATTTTCACCCAGCGCCGCGGACGACGTTATACTCCCAGTCCAGCCACTGCACCAGCGCGCGCGGGAAGTGTTGGATTACTACCCCCTCCATCGTTTCATAGAAGGCCAACTCGCGAGCAGTTGTACCAGCAGAGGCGTGAGCCTTGCGGATGCAAAACTGGAATTTCAGCTGTTCAAGTCGGGGGAACCTAGCGCGAGCCCAATCCTCCGGCAGCGCTTCCCTCAGCTTCCCCATCGTTTCTGCCAGAATTTCGGATTGCGGAAGCCGCTTGGTGCCGTCCAGCATTGCGCTGGGTGCGTCCACGGTCTCTGACATGCGACCGCTGGCGTCGACGCCAACGGGGAACTGGAGCGCGATCGTAGTCAGGTTCGGGGCTGCGGGGAAGGTGCGGAGTGTGAGGAGTGTCCACACCGCATGCCCCACTGGTTTTTCTTTTGGCAGACATATGACGAGCGAGTGCAGAGCGCCGAAAGGAGGCAAGCCGCACATGATCTGTGACAATTTAAAACATGAATAAACGACGAGGGTTCTCGACCCCAGCGCGAAAAGTTTCCGCATGGTCCCGGGAAAGCATCCACGCAACGTCAACGATTTGAGCGCCCGAGGAGGCGAATGCTCCACGAGGTCGATGACGTAGTTTCCGACTCCGCTCTGAACGTCGAGCGTCTCCAGCGCCGAGAGGTCAAACAGGGTGGGGCGGCCATGCGCGCTGTGATCAAATGGGAGCGCAGTTTCATGCACCTCGCATTGATAGAGGTAAAGTGCGCTCAGCGCGCCACACGAGCCCAAAAATTGGGCGATAGACGCGAACCCCCAGAACATTGCACCGTCAATATGTAGTTCCGCCATGTTGGGAAATTTAGTGAGGCAGAGAGAGGCGTCTGCAACACTCAAGGCTTGGTGGATAGGTGGGTCGCTGCCGCAGTGGATGGACCAATGGACCGTCCGGACGTGCGGCATGAGGGGAATGGCCGTATGAGCAATTTCAACGTTGAAGAGGTTTGGAGGCCAGCGAAAATGGACGGTCTTTATTGTGGTGGGCAGGTCCGGTATGCTTTCCAGCAGTTCGGCCCAGAACTCTCCGGTTTCTGACCATGGGAATCGAATCACAGCAAAAAGGTATGGTATCGCGGAGGAGCGCATCGACGAGGACGTCAGTGCCATGGCGCGCAGCGTATCCAAATCTCTCGCGTTATGCGAGACAATCTCCGCAGCGAGTTCAAAGGGAATCTGGGCTGCATTCGACGTTATTTGAGATTCAAATTGTGGGTCAGAGTTACTCTACTCACAGTATGGCATGTCAATGGTGGTGTTGGTTCAAGCGACGGTATCACGTAATCGTAAAACGCTTCCTTTATCATTACCGCGCACTGCCAAAATCGGTTTCCAAGATTACAAGGAATATAGTATGTCTAAGTATACACTGAACTGCATGCCCTACGGCGGGGGTACCCGCCAATACTCGCTCGGTATGAATCCCATCTTCAGCCCTTGTACGGTGGCCCGCACATTCGTGCGCAGCGGGCCCGCATCCCCGCCGTCCACGCCCTCGTCGTACCCCGTGCCCAGCTTGCGCGCAAGCTCCTGCACGCCCTCGTCCTCCCGCACCCACGCGCCCTCGCGCGCCTCGGCGTCCCACCACGCCGCCGCTCGGGACCGCAGGCCCGGGACGCGCATCACCGCGCCGCGCGCGATGCGCAGGAGCTGCAGGCGCGCGAGCGCCATCTCCGCCGTGCGCATCGCGGCGATCGTCGGATTGAGGGCCGCCGCGGCGGACTGGCGGGCGGGGAGCATGTGCACGAGCGGCGGGAGCACGAGGAAGAGGAGTTGGCGCGCGAGGTAGAGCCTGTCGTGCCACTGTGGTGTGGTGTGGGTGAGTCGGGTACGGCAGGCGCAAAGAGGGCAGCCGCGACTCACCATGAATACCTTCTCGTCGCCCTTGGGGATCTTGATGGCGACTGTGCTAATCCAGTATGCTTCGAAGCAGAATGCACCCGCGACGGCTGCGACGGCGAGGGTACGGTAGCGCTCCCGCCCGGAGCCACTGATTGTCACAAGCTGCAGAAAGAGGAGTGAGAGCGGGACGAGGGCAGAGTCGGGAAAAACGTACCCCAGTGACGGCGCATTCCCAGATGTACGAAATCAGGGTACGCGGCAGCGCGAACATGGCGAACTCTTCGAATGACAGGCAGTAGTCGCAGTTTGAGACCACCGAATGGCCAAAGCTACCATTCTGATGAATATACTGCAGCAGAGAAGGTAGTTGTTGCACCCACCGAATGTAATAAGTCTTGACATCGAATGAGCCAAGGTGTTTGAGAAGTGTCTCGAGTGGCTTTGGCAGTTCTCCCGTGTCAGACTGCGAGAGCAAAATACTCCGGATCGCATCCGCAGGTGTGCTTATCGGTACGTTGAGACGGGTGAAGATGTTGAGAGGCGGCAGGACGATTATTTTGTACAGAAGAAAGAGAGAATGAAGCAGGAGAAATATGCTGAGCAGAGATCGGGAAGACGCCAATGGCCGACCGGGAGTTTTATGTATGTCAAAGTAGAACCAAGGAGCGATAACGCTGGCTGCAGTGACGAGGAACAGGGCGAGAGACACGCCGGCAGCCATGGCGTCCGGAAAAGAAACACGTCAGACGCGACAAAAAAGATGGCACGTGCAAAGTCTCCGGATTTGATGGGACGGATATAAGCGAAAAAAGTGAACCCGGCCAGGATCGAACTGGCGACCGTTTGTGTCCCAACTGGAAAGCTGTAAGACAAACGTGATAAACCGCTACACCACGGATCCATGATCGGGCGTGGCCAGGCGGTTATGAGACCCAGCGATACAGTCGTGGGAAGGAGGACCCCGCCGTTGTTTGTTCGTGCTGGCATAAGCTTCCCGCATTCGCGTGTGGCCCCAAAACATGGCTGAAGCCACGGCAGTATTCAAGGAGATCCCAGAGTTGTTCGAGGTCGAGCTCGGCGAGTCTCTGACTGCCCGCACAGAGGCTCTGTCTACTTTCCGCGAACTAGGGCCCCCAGACCTGGTGCACGTCGTCAAATCTACCTCAAAGTCCGGAAACCGCGACCTGGGCTCCTACCACTTTGTCTCGGGCGTCGACGCCTCGTCTTCCGCGTCTCTGGCAGCATACATAAACTCTCTGACCTATGCTATCGACGACAACTCCAACGCCTGGTTCAAGGCTGGCCCGGCGTGGAAGGTGCGCAACGGCTGCTATTGCTGCTTCAACGCCTTCTCGCGCGTCGACTTTCGCGTCGACGTCAAGATCCCTGGCGGGGTCAATGCTTATGTCGTGGATCTGCGGGGCGAGCGCCACGAGGCAACGGCGGACATGTGGCAGGAAACGTACGTCAGCGCACTCCTACGCGCCATCCTCTACTCGGACGACCCGACCCACAACCTCGACGCGTACCGCAAGCTTGATCCAATTACGTCGCCAGAGGGCGAGCTGCGGTTTTTGGCCGCTGCGGAGGCGTTGTTTACCAAAGGTGCGGCGCCTTTTTAAAAAATCACCTTTAGTCTTGGACCCTTGCAAGGCCATTATGATGGTCTTTGAATACGAGAGCCGTCTTTCAAGGCATTATGACGGCCTTGGAAGACGACTCTCGTATTACAAGTGTCGAGGGTGCGGCTTTTTAAAAAAAAGAAATCACCATTGCAAGACACCGTTGCGGGGCCATTATGATGGTCTTTAACTGCGAGAGGCGTCTTACGGGGTCCTTCCAGTTGTCCAGCAACGACTCTTTGTGATATAACTAACATAACACCCCCAGGCTGGCAAGTCGGCTCAGACCCCGAGATCCAGGTCGCGTCACTCACCACCAACCACCTCACCGCCGGCCTCATGAAATACTTTGGCACATCCGGCCGCTACCAACAAGCCGCCAACCTCTTCGAGAAGCTCGCAGTCCGCGAGCCTGACGTCGCGAGTCTCTTGGCCCGCGCATATCTTGGCATGCGTGCGTCCTCCCCCCTTTCTCTCTATTCCCCTTGCACTTACACACGCCCACAGACGAAGAAGTAAAAGCCCTGCAAATCATGTCCGCCGCCCTGCGCGCGTCCCTCCCACAGCCGCAGTCGCCCAGCATCCCCCCCGCAGTGCACTCGCACACCTACTCGTACACGCTCCTGCACGCGCAGTGCGACTTCCTGCGCTCCAAGAACCGCTCCGACTGGGCGCTCAAGCTCGCGCGCGAGGCCGTCAACGCCGCTCCCAGCGAGTTCGTCACGTGGGAGAAGCTGACCGAGGTGTACGTCGAGCTGGGCATGTTCGAGTCGGCCCTCCTCACCCTCAACTCGTGCCCCATGTTCACCTTCAACGGCCGCGACGCCCACCGCGCCCTCACGCCCGCGCGCGTGCACCTCCCGTTCCACCGCGCCATCGGCGAAATTCTGCCCGAAAGGGTGAGGGGGGAGGATGATGAGGTGCGTTTGCTCTTCCTCCACTAGTCACAAACCCTTGCTTACGACTACCTTGCCACACCCCCCAGGCCGACCCAGCGCTACAACGCCTCCCCGCGCCGGGGCTGCGCGGCACCTGGGCGCGCGCATACGCGCTGCTCACGCGGCTCGTCGCGCAGATCGGGTGGGACGAGCTGCTCAAGACGCGGAGCGCCGTGTTCGTGATGGAGGAGGAGTACCGCATGCAGAAGGCGCAGGGGGACATTGCGGGCGCCTCTGCGTCGACGCCGACCGTGGAGGCGCACGCGCATTCGATGGCGGGGACGACGCTGGCGGAGAACGGGATGGACGGGGACGAGGACGAGGGGGCGTCGACGCGGGGGATGGTCAGCCCCGGGTCTGCGGGTGCGAGCGCGAGCGCGGTGGGGCTGAATGGGAATGGGGATGTGGAGGCGGGTGAGGGCGAGAATGGGATTCCGACGATACGAATTTCGAGCGAGGACGATGAGAAGAAGGATGACGGCGCAGGGGCAAATGCGGCGGATGCTCTGGAGCGGCCGGTACAGGCTGCGGCGGGCGATGAGGACGGGGATATCACGGGTGCCGCGGAGAACGATGTGACCGCAAAGGCGAAGGAGGCGGCGGCGGCCGCGCTGGCGCAGGAACCGTTCTCGTTCAGCAATAAGCGGCTGTGCGAACGGTGGCTGGATAATTTGTTCATGGTCTTGTACGAGGTGCGGCTTGGTTCCTCGCTTCTTGAGCGCGGCGCTGATTTATTTACTTACTTGCAGGACCTGCGCGTGTGGACCATCTTCCGCGCGGAGGTCGCGCACTTCAAGACGCAGCACGTCGCGTACCGCAAGACGGGGCTGGAGTGGGAGATCCTGGGCGACCTCGGGATGCGCCTGCACCACAAGGAGGAGGCGAAGGAGGCGTACCAGCGGTGTCTCGACACCCCGCGGTACTCGGTCAAGCCGTGGAGCAAGCTGATGGAGATGTACGCGGACGAGGGGGACATCCAGCGCTCGATACAGACAGCGATTCGCGTCGCGGCGTATCAGTATGCGGAGTATACCGAGATGACGGTGAGTGCGATGAGCTGCTATCTGCAATCAATACTGACACGGCGCCTCGCAGTTCCCAACGCAAATCGCGCAGTGCTTCTTCAAGCTGGGGCAGGTGCACGGGCACGCCAAAATCTCATATACACTGCTCAGCATGGGCCTCCCCGAGCCCATCCTCAAAATTATGGACAGCTATCTGCAGTACGGGAAGACGTTCAAGGTCGAGGGGTATGATTTCTAGCCTGGGGACGTTGAGGTCGTTCGAGGTGGGGCGTTGGGTGCTTGACGGGGGAATTGCTTAAAATTGCGGCAGTATAATGCTGCGCTTCCCTTACTATTACCACTACCCTACTTGTCCTTTCTTTCTTTTTATTATGCATTTCGACTTGCTGTCACTTAACTTATTTAGATACGGGGCTTTGTCTGAATCTCCACTACTGGTTTCTGACCGAGGAATAGAAATCTTGTCAGCTTTGGAAGAGCAGAGCTAATCATGCGCTCATGATTAAGTACTCAAGTATGAACTACGCAGCGTCAACTAGTACGCAGTCCACGAGGGTTGGTTGTTGTATTAATAGGTGTTTGATTTGACAGCTAATCTACCAGATACAATATAAACGAGCGAGAGCAAAGTGAGGGTAAAAGTTTTGTACACTAAGGGAGTGTCCGCGAGCCAGGTGCTGCAGGCAAGTTGATAAAATGAGAGTGCGCCACCCATTAGATGAAACCCCACTGCGGGGTTACAAAGATGTCGTAGTCGTCGAGGGTGTCGGGGTTTCCGTTCACGCGCAGGGCGCGGAGGAGCACCTTGTACTGGCCGTTCGGAACGGCGGTACCGTTCGCAAAGACTACGGGAATTGTAGTGAAGAGAGAGCTCCTGACCTGCGTGCACCACATGTGAATCACGGTAGATGACTGAGAAAAAGAGGCAGACGCACAGACTGCGCCTGTTTGCCCTGGCGTGGGAAGTATGTGGACTCGATTATTGTGCCAAGGATGGGGACCGACGCGTAGCTCGTGCCCTTACCTGGCCGCGTAATTCCAGGATACCAGCCTGACCAGTCGCGCTTTGTCTTGTTAACAGGGACACCGAGCGTCGGCGGAAGGTTTGTGTGGATGTCGGTCTTGGCGTCGATGAGGTCGAGGATGAAGCGTGCGGAAGGCTGGGCAAGTCTGCGGAACGGAACATCAGCGCAAGAATCGGAGGCAGAAGGGCCACGTACGAGAAGAAAATCGTAGGCAAGAAATCGTCCACGGTGTAATTTGTCGCCTCGGTTATCGGCATGAAGAATCTAGGCTGAGAGCTGCCAGTCATCGCAAATACCGGCGTGCCCAGCTCGCCTTTGAAAAGAAAGTCGTTGCCCGTGCTGATGACCTGTGCGCCGCGCAACGAACCAGCGAATCCGGCGTACGATACGCGGTATGTCTCGCGGCTCGAGTACGCAAGAACCGTGATCCAGCCAGATACGATGGGCAGTTGCTTCTTGTTGACGCCACGCGGGGGCGCGATCGTAGCCCGGACGGTTGTGGACTGACCCGGCTTGAGGGTGAATTTCGTTTTGCTGAGGTGCACGTCGACGGAGTCTTTGATTAGCTCCACGGGGTACGGCTGGTAGTTGATCTCGTCCTGGGGGCGCAGCGTCAGCCTTGCGTGCATTTAAACAAATCACGGATCGTACGGGCAGTGACCTGATCGTGCCAGCGGCCTGGTGGTACACATAGTATGTCTCCTCCTTTTTCCCCGTGTTCTTGACAGTAATGACGTGACTGAGACAGTGAGACGCGTCTCTCACTCAAAAAAAAAAGACGGGACGTACTCGGGCTTCCAGTGTTCGGTGTCATTTAGAAGCAGTTCGCCGGGGGATACATTTGAGGTGCCGTAGATCGACTGGTAGACGTTGATGAGACCGGCGCCCTGCTGCGCGAGGGTCTCCGGGAGAGAGTCTTGAGCCTTGCTGTTGGGGACGGCGCGAGCAGAAGTCTGCAGAATGCGCCGGACATCCTGGGCGGCCCCCTTGCCCTTTGACTGGAGAACCAACGCGGCGCTTCCGGCGGCATATGGGGTAGCCATAGACGTACCTAGCGGGCGGAGCGTGAGTACGAGTCTCTCGCTGTTCGCCCCTCCGACGTGCGCTCACCTGAGATGGTGTTGTAGGAGCCGAGGTTGACAGGCCAAGTGCTCGTGATGTTGGCACCAGGAGTAACGAATGCCGGTTTGAATAGCGCATCCGCCGTCAAACCAAAGCTGCTGAAGGCGCTCACGAGACCACCTTCCGGGTTGGGAACCTGAACCGCGCCACCCTCTTGCGGGAATGAAAT